ACTTCATCGGATGCATACTGTGGAAAATATAATGATGTTTTTATACACACAAACCATGAAAAAATGGGTGTTTATCACTACAAAAGGTTTTCTCTCCCCCCACCCCACTCTCCTGCTGGTAATAGCTTATGTAAAGTGATCACTCTCCTTACAAACGACAGGTTTCAGAGGAACAGCTGTGTTAGTCTGTATTCGCAAAAAGAAAAGGAGTACTTGTGGCACCTTAGAGACTAACCAATTTATTTGAGCATGAGCTTTCGTGAGCTACAGCTCACTTCATCAGCTCAAATAAATTGGTTAGTCTCTAAGGTGCCACAAGTACTCCTTTTCTTTCTCCTTACAAAGTGTATGATAACCAAGGTGGGCCATTTCCAGCACAAATCCAGGGTTTAACAAGAATGTCTGAGGAACGGGGGGGGGGGGGTGGAGGGGGGGAGGGGTTGGAAAAAACAAGGGGAAATAGGCTTGAATAGAGACTGGGAGTGGCTAAGACATTATGCAAGGTAACCTAAGTTAATTGTATCCAATTTGCAAATGAATTCCAATTCAGCAGTCTCTCGCTGGAGTCTGGATTTGAAGTTTTTCTGTTGTAATATTGCAACTTTCATGTCTGTAATCGCGTGACCAGAGAGATTGAAGTGTTCTCCGTCTGGTTTATGAATGTTATAATTCTTGACATCTGATTTGTGTCCATTTATTCTTTTACGTAGAGACTGTCCAGTTTGACCAATGTACATGGCAGAGGGGCATTGCTGGCACATGATGGCATATATCACATTGGTGGATGTGCAGGTGAACGAGCCTCTGATAGTGTGGCTGATGTGATTAGGCCCTGTAATGGTGTCCCCTGAATAGATGTGGGCACAGTTGGCAACGGGCTTTGTTGCAAGGATAGGTTCCTGGGTTAGTGGTTCTGTTGTGTGGTATGTGGTTCCTGGTGAGTATTCGCTTCAGGTTGGGGGGGCTGTCTGTAGGCAAGGACTGACCTGTCTCCCAAGATTTGTGAGAGTGTTGGGTCATCCTTCAGGATAGGTTGTAGATCCTTGATAATGCGTTGGAGGGGTTTTAGTTGGGGCTGAAGGTGACTGCTAGTGGCGTTCTGTTATTTTCTTTGTTGGGCCTGTCCTGTAGTAGGTGACTTCTGGGAACTCTTCTGGCTCTGTCAATCTGTTCCTTCACTTCCGCAGGTGGGTATTGTAGTTGTAAGAATGTTTGATAGAGATCTTGCAGGTGTTTGTCTCTGTCTGAGGGGTTGGAGCAAATGCGGTTGTATCGCAGAGCTTGGCTGTAGACAATGGATCGTGTGGTGTGGTCAGGGTGAAAGCTGGAGGCATGTAGGTAAGAATAGCGGTCAGTAGGTTTCCGGTATAGGGTGGTGTTTATGTGACCATTGTTTATTAGTGTCCAGGAAGTGGATCTCTTGTGTGGACTGGACCAGGCTGAGGTTGATGGTGGGATGGAAATTGTTGAAATCATGGTGGAATTCCTCAAGGGCTTCTTTTCCATGGGTCCAGATGATGAAGATGTCATCAATATAGCGCAAGTAGAGTAGGGGCGTTAGGGGACGAGAGCTGAGGAAGCGTTGTTCTAAGTCAGCCATAAAAATGTTGGCATACTGTGAGGCCATGCGGGTACCCATAGCAGTGCCGCTGATTTGAAGGTATACGTTGTCCCCAGATGTAAAATAGTTATGGGTAAGGACAAAGTCACAAAGTTCAGCCACCAGGTTAGCTGTGACATTATCGGGGATAGTGTTCTTGATGGCTTGTAGTCCATCTTTGTGTGGAATGTTGGTGTAGAGGGCTTCTACATCCATCGTGGCCAGGATGGTGTTATAAGGAAGATCACTGATGGATTGTAGTTTCCTCAGGAAGTCAGTGGTGTCTCGAAAATAGCTAGGAGTGCTGGTAGCGTAGGGCCTGAGGAGGGAGTCTACATAGCCAGACAATCCTGCTGTCAGGGTGCCAATGCCTGAGATGATGGGGCGCCCAGGATTTCCAGGTTTATGGATCTTGGGTAGTAGATAGAATATCCCAGGTCGGGGTTCCAGGGGTGTGTCTGTGCGGATTTAATCTTGGGCTTTTTCAGGGAGTTTCTTGAGCAAATGCTGTAGTTTCTTTTGGTAACTCTCAGTGGGATCAGAGGGCTTGTAGAAAGTGGTGTTGGAGAGCTGCCAAGCAGTCTCTTGTTCATATTCCGACCTATTCATGATGACAACAACACCTCCTTTGTCAGCCTTTTTGATTATGATGTCAGAGTTGTTTCTGAGGCTGTGGGTGGCATTGTGTTCTGCACGGCTGAGGTTGTGGGGCAAGTGATGCTGCTTTTCCACAATTTCAGCCCGTGCACGTCAGCGGAAGCACTCTATGTAGAAGTCCAGTCTGCTGTCTTGACCTTCAGGAGGAGTCCACCTAGAATCCTTTTGTAGTGTTGGTAGGGAGGTCTCTGTGGATTAGTATGATGTTCAGAGGTGTGTTGGAAATATTCCTTGAGTCGGAGACGTCGAAAATAGGATTCTAGGTCACCACAGAACTGTATCATGTTCATGGGGGTGGAGGGGCAGAAGGAGAGGCCCCGGGATAGCACAGCAGAAGCAGCTGTCCTAAGAGTATAGTTGGATAGGTTAACAATATTGCTGGGTGGGTTGAGGGAACCATTGCTGTGGCCCCTTGTGGCATGTAGTAGTTCAGAAAGTTTAGTGTCCTTTTTCTTTTGTAGAGAAGCAAAGTGTGTGTTGTAAATGGCTTGTCTAGTTTTAGTAAAGTCCAGCCACGAGGAAGCTTGTGTGGAACGTTGTTTTTTTATGAATGAGTATCCATTTTTGAGAGCTCATTCTTTATCTTTCCCTGTTTGCTGTAGAGGATGTTGATCAGGTGGTTCCACAGTTTCTTTGAGAGCGTGTGGCACAAGCTGTCAGCATAGTCTGTGTGGTATGTAGATTGTAATGGATTTTTTTACCTTCAGTCCTTTTGGTACAATGTCCATCTGTTTGCATTTGGAAAGGAAGATGATGTCTGTCTGTATTCGTACAAGTTTTTTCATGCAGTTGATAGATTTCCACTCCATACAGCTAAATGCAGTGCCTTGCATAATGACAGGTTTCAGAGTAACAGCAGTGTTAGTCTGTATTCGCAAAAAGAAAAGGAGTACTTGTGGCACCTTAGAGACTAACCAATTTATTTGAGCATAAGCTTTTGTGAGCTACAGCTCACTTCATCGGATGCATACTGTGGAAAATATAGATGATGATTTTAATACACACAAACCATGAAAAAATGGGTGTTTATCACTACAAAAGGTTCTCTCCCCCACCCCACTCTCCTGCTAGTAATAGCTTATGTAAAGTGATCACTCTCCTTACAATGTGTATGATAATCAAGGTGGGCCATTTCCCACACAAATCCAGGTGTCCCCCCCCCCCCCCCACACACACAATAACCCCACTCTTCTGTTGGCAGCAGGAGAGTGGGGGGGCAAAGGGGGGGGGGAGAAAACCTTTTGTAGTGATAATCAAGGTGGGCCATTTCCAGCAGTTAACAGGAACGTCTGTAAGCATACTCTTAATATTTGTGATTCTGTTTATAATAAATTGTAAATCTGCAATATTGATTTATAATATTTGTAAATCTGCATTTATTACATTTTGTAATTCTCCTAGGTTCTGCCTATAATATAAGTCTTCTATTTGACAAAATTGTAAATCTGCAATATTGATTTACCATTCTGTATTAAAGCTTGCAAACCGTACCTTGCAAGCAGTCAATTGACTCTGCTTTCTCTGAATTGATACTTTTTCTCACTTGTTATTAAGATTGACGCTTGTAAAGCTAAACCGCTCAATTGACTTTCTCTGTATTGACGCTTTCCCTTGATTGTAATTGAGATTGACGCTTCTAAATGTAAACCACTCAATTAGCGTTACTTTTTCAAATGGTTATATTCAATTGGCTCTACTTTGCGAATGGATACTTTGTGATGGAAATTGACATGCTTTTTTGTAACACCCGCGAATTGGAGCGGCGCTCATAGAAATGTCACATAGAGACTCCCACCCTCTATAGTTTGGATCAGGAATGTTAAAAAACGGGGAGTCTCAAATAAATAACACCTTTGTATGTTAAAAGAAAGTCAATACCGAAGGAATGTTAAGAGACAGGGAGTCTCAAATAAATAACAATACTCAGTGAAATAAGAAATGTGTTTTTATTAAAGTAAAGAATGTATGTGAATGAATGGTGGGTTTTGAATAATCAGGGAAGTGCCAGAATAGGAATTTAATATCAAATGGCTGAAGACGACGCCAGGTGGAGACAACCAGAGAACCCCACCAGAGGGCAAACTGGGATCCACCTGAGCAATTCAAAGGATGAAGAAAGCTGATGAGCACCTGACAGCCATCCTGGAGCCATCATGACTAACAATATGACAAAGCAAATTCCACGGACTGGCACAGGAAGAAATTCCTATAAAAATGGACATTAAGGACTGAGAATTTTGAGTCTCCAGTTCTGCCACTACCCTTCAGGAGCATCGGATGCGCATCCGACATGGACTCGGCTCCACTCTCATGTACAGGTTACCTGGCCAGTACTCTGTCACGAGCAACTTCTAGGCTGGGAACTATAACCCCTATGCAGAACTGGAATGAATGAATGAATATATAGTTAAGTAAGGAATAAGTAACAATATAACAGTGTGTTTTATATATTTATTATTATTATTATATTTATAATAAATGTGGCATTTTGCCTTGTCCCTTTAATAAGATCCTGCTGGTTTTTATTTTATTGGTATAACACATTTTCCCCCCCCCCCCCCCCACGACAGTTGGGGTAGGGGACGTTCCTGTTAACTGCTGGAAATGGCCCACCTTGATTATCACTACAAAAGGTTTTTCTCCCCCCCCCCCCCCCGCTCTCCTGCTGGCAATAGCTCATCTTAAGTGATCACTCTCCTTAAGTGTGTATGGTAACACAGCCATTGTTTCACGTTCTCTGTATATATAAATCTCCCTACTGTATTTTCCACTGCATGCATCCGATGAAGTGAGCTGTAGCTCACGAAAGCTTATGCTCAAATAAATTGGTTAGTCTCTAAGGTGCCACAAGTACTCCTTTTCTTTTTGCGAATACAGACTAACACGGCTGTTACTCTGAAACCTGTCATAATCTGAGTATTCATCTTTAGCCTTAAATGCTTGGATCTTCAGACATAGTTTTTTAAATAAATCCTTCAAAAGACCACCCTTACCTAAAATACACATTTTAATTTTAGTTACTATAGTACAAAAAATTTCTCCCAAAGTCTTCCTGTCCTTTCGGTCCTTCTCTTTCTCCCTTCAACCACCTCTCCCCTCCCCCCAGTTGGAGAGCCTTTAAAGGGACAACACCCCTTTCCTTCCAGATAGGGCAACTCGTTTGTCCAACTTTCTTTACTTCTGACTATTTGATGAACTAGCTTTAAGAGAAGCCTCCAGCAAAATCAGTACCTTAGTAAGGCATAAAATTCTTTGTTATGCCTAAAATCTTTGGAAACATTTTTTTTAAGTTGGTGAAATTTCATAAACATGTCTATTGTTATAGAGATCACACAATGTAAATTAGTGTTTCCTTTTTCTAAAAAGCAATGAACATTGTTACGAACACACTAAACCCCTGTGACTGATTAATTTGAAATAATGTCTTTGTTTCAGTGAGTTAGATATGTAGTAATCTTGAATGATTACTTTATGAAGGCTAAATTTAAAATATAAGAGTACATTTAAAATATAAAATCAGCTTAGAAATACCGATTAAGAAAATGTAAAACAGAGAAGAGCTGCATCATGTCTTCCATAATATTTAATGTTGTATTCAGCAGGACAGCTGACTGACCCTTACTAGAAAGTTTTTGCAAATAAATCTGACAAACTTCAGGCTGTATAAAAAAAAAAATGACTGACATTTTTTATTCCCAAGTTTAGTGCTTTTAATTGGGTACCTTCTGCATGTCCAGTCTTCAGCAGCTGGCATGCAATGGAAAATATGCTCTATTTTCTTTTGAAGAAAAAAAAAAAAGACACCACTTCTGCAATTTCTTTATAGTCATTTGGGTTCAGGGATTTGGCTAGAAGAGGGTGATCAGGGAGGGGGAGGGAAGAGAGGAGGGGGACAGTGGGGAGCAGGCGGGGCCTGGGCAGCGTGGGGGGGGGGCCTGGAGCAGAGCAGGGGTAGCATATGTACAGGGTCACAGGTGGGCTGAGGAGGTAGCCTCCCCAAGTGGCAGCTTCACCCACTGCCCATGAGCCCAGGTAAGAGGGGACTGGCTCCTGCACAGCCAGTGCGCACTACAGTCTCCGTAGGCAGGGGCCGTATTCGCAGAGCCGAATGTGCCAGCACCACGCATTCTGTATGAGGGAGAGGGTACGGGGGTCTCTGCGAGGAACTGACACTCTCTGCCACTGTGAGGTGGGCTGGGTGGCTCGGTATCCTTGCTGCCTCATCCCTCCTCCGCCAGGCTGCCAGCCCAGGCTGCCGTCGGACACAGGGGCACCAGTTTAATAACACGGCATAGGGCCCAATAAATCCTAAGGACAGCCCTGACCACTACTATGTTTTTGTCCCCAGGAGCCTTTATAGCTATTCTGTGGGAAAACGGGCCCTTTTCCCACAGAAATGGTCTGTAAAGGACTGCTGCAGGCAGCCAGATACTCTGATCTATATTATTTGACTATAGGACGAATTAATCAAAATCACCAAAGGAATGTAAGGGGTTTCCACTAAAACTTGACTGTCTCCGATTGTACAAGATGGGAATGTAATCTGGGTACAGCTGTGTAAAAAGTAATAGAAGCAGTGCAAGGGGTGTTGAGTAAAAGAGAATTTTTGCATGTGAATCTTTGTATAGTTATGTGAGGTTTTAAGGACTAAACCAATACTCATGGTTTGTAAAATCCTGTTTGTAGGTTTAAGATAATTGGTTTTTGAGGTTTTTTTTTAAATAAAGAAAAAACAAACAATGGCACTAAATCTATTTGAATCTCTCATTCAAAGTTGCAAAACTGACAGACACTTTTTGCCAGACACAGGTAACTAGTGTTGTTTGGCTTTGATATTTAGCATTTAACCCTTAAGGTACCTCAATGTTTAATATGTTTTTAAATAAAGACAAAGTCGTGGCTGTGGTGGGAGGCGGCTGGGGCCACGGGCTGAGGGAGATATTTTGGATTTTTTTTGTGTGCCCGCACAGGAAAAAAGGGGAGGAATGAAGGGAACACTGAGCCTTGGGGTGGCTCTGGGTGATCGGACTGTCACTTTGGTGTGGGTGCAGGAGAAATCTGTGGGCATGGGGGAGACAGTTACACCTTGTGTGGCTAATATAATGTTGTAGAGTTGAACTGTGGAGGGGTGTGCATTTTCCTAGAACATGTGCAGTGTATGTTGTAGAAGAAATGCAAACAAAACATGCTACTTAGTTAAAATTCTATTAGGGCTCCAAAGGGAGCCACAATAGGTTGTGTTTTCTTTTTCAGATGGCTGTGTGTTTTAGAAGCAGGAGTTAAAAGTGAAAAGTAATCGGAACTCTGGTGGAAGTTAATTGTGTCCCTTTTAAGGCAGAGTCTCTGAGCTGCTAATAGCTTTGGATCCAAAAGCAAGCCAGAAAGCCTCTGTGTGGATGCAAATTACCTAGCTGTTAGGGGAAGGAGAGCACTGCCCATAAATGGCAGTACAAAGGAGCTGCAAATAATAAATATACCCGGTCAACAAACAAGCTAGTTGTAAGCAAGAAGACTCAAATTGTGGCCCTCCAGGAAAGGGAGGTAGGAAAACAAGTCAAGCCTGAAAATAAGAGGGTCAGGTAAAAAAATAAGAGGGACAGGCAAGGCTCTGTGGTGTCAGAGCTGAGAAGAGGGACACGGGGTAAATGTTCTGCGGCATCAGAGCTGGGAACAGAACACTGGGGAACAGACTATCGGCATATAGAGACAAGCCCGACTGGTGTGAAGGGCTTCAGAATATGCTTGCTTGGAAACTAACCCCCAATAAACATTGCATTGTTTGTGCTTCGGACTACTGGTCTTTTGCTACTTGCTGTCTGTGTGACAAGAACCAGGGAAGTGAGAGGGTTGAGGGAAAGCCCTCTACATCACCCTCTAGGGACAACAGTCTCCGCCCTTAACTCAAGACTTTGACAACAGGAGGAGCTACAAGCCAGGTTCAAAGAGGTGGGAGCTGCAATTACTGTATTTGAAAATGATGCATCTGGTGTCAAGTCAGTCACCACTGGACTATGTGAAACAGTTCAGTTTAGGGCTATCAAGAAAGTACCTTGGCTTCTTAATTAGGCAAGCAGTTTCATGGTTCAGGGCATTTCAAGAGTTGGGAATGCAAGTTAACTACAAACAATACCAAGTAAGTGATTTCAGAGTAGCTCGATGGGAAAGAATGGCAATTTCATAACATGGAATTGGTTCTTTGCCTGTCTCTAGCTAGCCCCCAGCTGCTTTGCATCAGCACTGCAGCTACAGGATATTGTTGGTTTAAAGACTATGGGCCACATCCAGCCCTTGGACAAGCAAGTTACATGTTTGAATTCAATAGGATAGTGCTAGGTTATAGCAGGAGCTAAATGTGTCTCTCTCTATAGCTGACCCCAGAGAATGGCCAGAAGGAGAATACAGAAGGGTTGTTTCAGTGCTCTGGGGAAAGATATTTTTGAAAGAAACACCATCATTGCTTTTTTAATATTCAACATGTGAACTGATTTAAAAAGGTACTGAACACATTTTTACAGGCGAAAATATAGTCTTGTAATTATAATCTTCAGGAAGGGATTTAGGAATAGATGACATTCGCTAAGGACAAAGTTCTGTCCAAAGTTATGCAAATTCCCTAACAGGGAGTGCCCGGATAAAACTGAGGGCAGAATCAGGCCCAACATCTGAATATGGGTTTGTGAACAGGAGTGGGTGGAAGAGAGGCAGCTACAGGAATAGTTTTAAGTTAGTGGAAAGTTTTTATTAACACAACACTTAAGAGCTGTGGCAAGAGATGGTTGTTAGCATATGATTCCATGCTAAAAATACCATTTTGCATAGGAAAACACTGTTGCCTATATTAAAGCCTAAGGGCAAAGCAAGGAGCAGAAAAAAAAATGATAGTGGGAGATGCCAACACTCCTCGCCCCAGACATTTTAAAAAGTATCTTCCATCTTTTCCAAATGTTAAAAATGCAATTCTAGCAGGAGACAAAAGGAAGGGACTCTCTGAAGGAATAGGTCCCAAGTTGCAATTTGAGATACTATACGATTGGATAGCTACTAGCAGCCAAACTTTACTACAGAATACATACAGATTTCCTCTTGCAGTAGAGGTATGGTATAAAAACTATTACAGAGCAAGATACGGATGTAGAGTTTGTTCCTTTCCGCTGGTCCCTTCAATACTAGGCAGTTCTTATTTTGGCCTTGCTCTCAGGTTTTTTTTCCTGAACTCTCCTTGCATTATTAAAGGACCTTCCATTGTCTGTGCTGAACATTAGACCCCGGGGGGGAAGAGAGGGAAAAAAAAAAAAAAAAGAGAGCAAGAGACACACACAGACACACGCACACTTTTCACCTTGTATCATTCCTGGATAGTTTACAGCAGGAAGCTGATCTTAGAAGGTGCTTGAGAACTTGCATGAGAACTAATAGGGCAGACTGGATTCCATGAAGAACCAGAGGGTGATGCAATTGCCCTTCAGCAATTAAACAATGGAGCTTAATATTTTTATGAGAAGATGGAAAGGATGAAGGGCTTCCCTTAATGAATGGTCACCATTCAAGCTCTACAGCCCTACCTTCTGCACTGCTGCTGGTGTGTAAATGCTGGTTTTCTATGGAACATCCCCCAGTTCATATTCAGATGCTGTTGCTTTCACAAGAGTTGCATAGTCATTGTTTTTCACTGTGCCAATAGTCTCATATTCATTCTTTTCCACAGGCTGTGATGTATAGTTGTTTTCACCTCTAGATTTTGCTTCCTCATATGTGCACTTGTCATTGACTCCTGAATAAGTCTCTCCTCTTGTGTGGTTCTTGGAGTTAGGACTGAAACAAAAGTCGAATATTAATGGGAGGAAAGAGCCAGGGGAGACTTAACATCACCCAGTTTCAAGATCCTGGGCAATGGTCCCTCTAATTTTTCCCATCCATGTGTGGAATGAATTTTGTTATGTTCACTAATATGGAGGTGATGTCTGCTGGGGGTGTGGCTGAGGGGTTCAGAGTATGGGAGGGAGCTCAGGGCTCGGGCAGAGGATTAGGGTGCAGGGGGTGAGGGCTCCGGCTGGGGTGGGACCAGGGGTTTGAGGTGCAGGCTGCCCTGGGGCTGGGGGGGGGGGGGGAAGAGGAGAGAGAGAGAGAGAGAGAGAGAGAGCGCTCCCCCCAGCTCTCTCTCCTTGCAGCAGCCTCTGGGCTCAGATTGAGCAACTCTCCCCACCACAGCAGCTGCGAGGCTGGGGAAAAAGGCACCTCTCCACGCCACAGCCCCTGGGTGGGGGAGTCCTCTCTCCCAGTTGCAGCCCCAAAGCTGGGAGGAAGAGGCATGTCTCCTTGACGTGCCGCAGCCCCAGGGCTGGGGGAGTTAAGTGCGCAGCCTTTGGTGGCCTCCTGTGCGGCGCCAGACCTTAGTGGGAATTTAGGTCCTGGGGCCAGATTTTAGTCTGCATTGCACCAGCATAAACCTGGAGTCATTCCATTAATGTCAGTGGAGCGACACTGGATTTACAGCAGGGTAGCAGAGATCAGGCTTTAGTCTTCTGCTTTTAAATGACAGTGGAATATTAGCTATGGAACAACAAGACCCCGGATACTAACCCAAGCACATTATGGGAGGCTGAAAAAGTTGTATTAAAAGGAAAAGCAACAATCTGCTAAGTTTGGGACCAAATTCTCTGATGATGTATGACACTGACCTCAGTGGGGCTATGCCAGCTGGGGATTTGGCCCTTGGAAAATAAAGGACAGAATAAATAGTGGACAAATTGCAACATATGGGCCAAGTACAGCTGATAAAGTTCTCCAAGGTGGCATGTGGCTGGCCACATTTTTTACAATGAAGGTGCAACCAACGAAGAGAAGTCCCAGCATGCAGTGAGCAATGTTGATCAGAGTTAGACCTTATTTTAACATACTGCTGTACAAACCTCACTTGGACAAATTTCATTGGCAGAATACCACACTGCAACATACACTCTTACAATCACTTTATTGGCATCTGGATAAGTAGCTCCCACATTACATGTTGTTTTATTGTCAGGACCTTTAAATTGGCAGCTTGTCGTGTGTATGTGTGTTAGTGAATGGAAGAGTAGGACACAGGGATTCAAATTTAGGATTAGGATGGTCCAGGAAGAAATACCAGGGAGTAATGGAAGGAGGTTCAGCAAAGGACAGTTTTGGATGAACATCAGGAAATGGTTCTCAATTGGGAGACTATCCCAAGGGAAGAGCTAGAAATTCCTGTTCTTTAGATTCTGGACAAAACTCTGTGAATTCACTGCAGAGGACAATTGTCACTGGTCTCTTTGGTGAAGGAACAGAGAATCCAATAGGTCTTTTCCAACTGCAATTTTGGTGATTCTAAGATATTCACAAACATTTCTATCGCTGTCCCCTGTGTGAATATCTAATGCTGTCAATCACAAATACCATTAATACCCCCTTCTCCTGTATAACCAAAGAGGACATTCATTCTTCACTTGGCAAATAGCTGTCCTGCCACAGAAATCAATATTACAACCCCAGAAGTTCTTTCAGCATGACAGATAAAGAATCTTACTCACCATGTTACTTCATTCGGATTATCTGAAAACAAGAAAATGAAATGTTTTGTAGTTTTATTCTTCCAAGTGGAAATCAGATTTTTATTTTTAAAGTCTTATCATTGAAAGATGTAATAATAATTGCCCTTACATAACACAGTATGTTTTTATAACACTGTACAATCATAAACTAGTGCATCCATTCCAGGACCCTGTTTGGTTAGTGTTGTTTCCATTTTACCCATTGTAAAACCAAGGCAGAGTGGTTAAGAGACTTGCCAAAACCGGGAATAGAAACAGCCTTGTGTTCAGTCCATTACATCTTGCTGCCCCTTCCTGGATGATGGTTCTACTTAAGAATGGCCGTGAAGGGTCAGACCAATGGTCCATTCTAGCCCAGCATCCTGTCTTCCAACAATGGCCAGTGCCAGGTGCTTCAGAGGGAATGAACGGGAGAAGCAATCATCGAGTGATCTGATTCTTTTTTTGAGCCCTGTGATAGTGATAAGTTCCAAAAGGCTTCTGTCACTGAAGTGCCCTATGCTGCAATGAACGCTAAAAATCTCTTCCCATTAGGGCTGGATGTATTAGGCCTGTCCAGCTAGCGAGTAGACACTAAAGTTGATTCAACCAGAACGAAAAATTAAAATTGCAAAATTAGCATCAAGTTTACAAAGGGATTCAATTACATTTATCTGTGAACATACTGCAATGACAAAATAGATACATGACATGACCTCTAAACTAGTAATATGTAGATACTTGATGCTCTGAGAAAAAGTCAGTTTTACAAAACTGAAAACAAATCACAAATCAGCTGGGGGGGGTGGGGGGGGAGGAAGTATTTAAACAGAAAAATGTGAATGATAATTAGGAACAATTTAAGATGGCCAATAAGCCACAATTGCACCATTTAACACTGGGGGAAGCAGATAGTAACGAATAAAAACAAACAGCTAAGAATTGTAGAAAATTGATTAAGGAAGCAAAAGAAATCTATGCCCAGCAGAGTTAAGAACAATAAGGAGTTTTTATTTACAAACAAGGAACAAAAGGAATCCAGACAATAGTACTGGTCCACTATTAGATGAAAATGGAAGTATGGTCAATAATAATAATGTGGGGGGGAAAAGGAATAGTGTCCAATAATAACTAAATAGCATAATAAACTACTTATGCTAAACAATCTGTTCCACCTTGTATTTAGTTGTGACTCTCAGTTAATTTCCCACACCTGAAGATGTTTGCAACATCAGTGTGTCACAGTTAAATACAAGGTAGAACAAATTGTGTAGCATGAGTAGTTAACACATATTTCAAGGGATCAGATCTGTGTAGCTTGAAAGCTCATCTCTCTCAGTAACAGAAGTTGATCCATTACAAGATATTACCTCACCAGCTTGTCCCCCAGAATTGTTGGCATTTGACTAGAGGCAGCTGTAGGGGTTAGGTGGTTCTCTCTTCTCTCTGCCATGTGCTCAGTGACACAAGCCTTCTTGCTGCTTTATAAAACTCTCTCTCTCCCTTTATTTTTACTCTTTCTGTAACAGGCTAAGAGACTTGCTTTTCTCAGCTGTTCTCTCTCACTTTGTGTCTTATCTTCTCTAATATACATGCTCTATTTATTTCAAAAGACATATTTTGAAAAAAGTGTGAAAAATAATTGTAATCTAAATGCATAAACAATATTTTCTAAAAACTAATATTTAATACCTTTATTTAAAAAAAATAATTTCTCTGAAAAGACCTCAGCATATTTAAGGGACATATTTTTTGCAGTTTTAAAACACTCTTTTCTGACATTTTTCATTTTTCACTGTCATAGTCCATGTTATTTTGTAAATTATCTAAAAATGCCTATAAAAGTATTTTTCTTTAAAATGTGTGTAAAATACCTGTTTTCTTCTAACCTTAACACGTAAAACTCTCACAAACAGCCCTAAAGTTCCCCATGAAAAAAAAATTCAAAATGGCCAACTGCACCAAAAGCACACATATCCCAATAGGAGACTGGGGCAGAATGTAAACCAAAAAAGGGGCATGGAAACTGGTCAGAGTTATGTGGTGACAACCGCTATACAGTGCTTAGCTATGTAGACCTGAATTATCCCAACACTGGGGCGGTATTTGATCTGGGAGTTTATTATACATTTAGGGGACAATATGGGTCCAGATCTGAATTTCATGTCTGTTCAAACGCGGGGTTTGGGCCTTTCTCCAGAGTGACGTAGTTCATTGCCTGCTCATGTCCTGCTCAGTTCTTGGTTGCCCGGTGACTGCTTTGCACCAGCTAAGCTAGTGCAATATGGCTGCCCGGAATACCCCCAGCACAGACGGCTTTCTCTGGCAGATGCTGAGCCATCTCTCTGCCCTTTCATATTTGCTCACCACCCATGGAAGGGGTTGTAATGAATCTGCTAAGCAGGGAACTACCCATTCCCATCAACCACCTCCCCACCACACTTCATTTTCCACAGGCCAGGTAGGAGGAGGGGGCAGAATTCTATTGAAAGAACGGACCAAGGAAGTTCTCTGGCCCTTCTTTGGAAGCAGAGGTGGCATGGCCAGCAGCAGCAGTGAAGCCTAAGGCAGAGGGAAACGTCCAGGAACTATGTACGGAGCAGGCTGCACAGAAACCAGGAAACCACATGTGGAACAGGGGATGACTTGAAGCAGGAAGTTCTATGGCTTGTGTTCCGCAGGAAGGCCAAGGCTAGATGATTACAGTGGTCCCTTCCGTCATCTACTCTTTCTACAGTCAATAGGAACTGTGCTGAGATGTCAATTGGAAGCAACTCTTATAGAATGAAACCATGTTGACTTCCTAGCAAACAGCTCTGGGGCACACAGCTGCAAGAAGTGCATTCGCACGATTGGAATGGATAGATAAAGTACTGTAGCTCAGTGCTCAGAGAAAAGGAGACTAGCACAGTGGATTCTGATTACCCTGTCAGTTCCTGTTCTTGATAAACTAAGCCTACCCCTTAGTGTTCCATTTCAAGAAGTGATCTCGATTGACTTATTTTCTTTCATTGCACTGTAGCAATGTTTTTATTTGGCCCCTCTCCAGAAATCTTCAGAAGCAAAAAGTCAGCCTGTTTGCCCGGCGCGTCCCCAGCGCACCCTACTCACCCTTCTTGGTCTCTCTCTTACACAAGACGACCGCAATGACAACACACACCACAGCCACAGGGAGCACGACAATCAGGATGATGAGATAGAGGGGCAGGCTGGTCCCCTGGTACCCTAGATCAAAACAGCACACTGTGAGGTTTCAAGTAAGGAAGCAATTGTGCTCTGCTGGACTCCCCAACATACTGAATTCTCCCAAACCATGGGAGTTATGGAGGCAGGAATTTTGCTCCTGATGACTTCATGACGAACCACATGAAATTAAGGAAATCCATGACTCCTCTAGGCATGTCCTTCCAAGTGTTAGGACAGCTGCCATCCCATGGAGTCTGCAACCAAGTAGCCCAATGGCACAAAGTCATGCTTCACAGGAGAGCAGAGGAAAGGGGTGTAGTAGCTAGAACCACATAGGGCAGCAGAGGTCAATCAACCTGAGGTTGACTTCTAAAATGAGGTTAACTTCTAAAATGGTAGCAAATGGACATGTCACATTCAACCCACCCTTCTCCATCATTCACACAGAACCGCAATGAAACCACCACTTCGCTTCCTGTCTCCCAATTGCTTCCAATTCAGCACTGAGCAGGCCTCACCTCCTTCTGATACCATGGTGTGCACCTTGATCTCAGAGCAAGGCACCATGGTTGCTGATTTTGTGAGGTCTAAGAGAGAAGTGACAAATGTGTCAGACTCTTCCACCCCTTCAATTATGAATTTATAAATTGGATAAATGCAAAAGTTGTAAACCTCCCACGTCTTATAGAGCACTTCTCATCTGTAGATCTCCAAGGGTAAACTGAGGCACAGGAAGGGGACTTGCCTAAGGTCAGCAAGCTGGCAAGTGGCAGAGCTGGAGGACTGAGAACATTTTTATGACCCTAGCCAGTGATCAGCTTTGTCCTAACTAGGAAGGCTGAGAATCTCACTGTTTACATTCAATCTAAATGTCTAAACCTTTCTTAAACCCGCTTAAGCCATTTGTCTCATTATCACCCAGTGTCTCAGAGATCACCAAGCACTAATTTGGGGCACTTACCCCTCACAGTCAGCTGCACTGCATCACTCTGCCGTATGACTTGTGAGCTTGCTCTGTTTTCTGCTTCACAGTAATATTTCCCCGTGTCAGACGTTTGCAGAGACTCAAACATGAGTACGGCGTGATTGCTCACAAGTACTGCGTTTCCTCCTGGCTCTCCCTTGAACCATCGGTAGATGATGGGTGGGGACCCACTGACAGAACAGGTCAGGCTTGTCCGAGCCCCTTTTGGTACAGTGAATCCCAGAGCGCCTGGTCTGATGATGGGTTTAGTCACTGCAACTGAAAGACAGAGGGAAAGGGATTTGGGTCTGAATTGTCCTGAAGTTGCAGGGTATTTGATCTGGGAATTTGGTCATCATAGAGAAAGGTGCAGGAGTCAGACTTCCCTGAATTCCATGGCTGTTCACCCTTCTCAAGAATGAATTCATTCATGACCTGCTCATATAATCCCCTTTTATACAGAGTTTCTGAGCTCCCTTCATGGTTTCCTTGTGACTGCTTTGCACCAGCCGTGCCAGCACAACGTGGCCACTGCAGGGAGTACCCCCACACCACAGCCTGTCACTGTCAGAGGCAGAGCCATTTTTCTGCCCCTCCATAAGCCTTCCACACCAAATGCACAGAGAGAGTTCTGGGGTGTTTTGGGGATGTTCTTGAGTGTGCAGCTGGGGCAATCCTGTACTCCAACTCTTCTGTAACTGCTGCAAGGCCCACAGATATGTTCAGCAGTGAGGCACTTTAAAGCAGTCGTGAAGGCTGTCTTAAGTAGCAGTAGTGGCCAAGCTAGGTACAAGCCACACCCCCAAATCAATGTCACAGGCATGAATCCCATCCTTTGGTCCATGTCCCTCTAACTAGGATGGGGCTAATGCCAGTGCAGTGAAGACGATGCATGGCACTCGAGAACCCGTGGGAAATGCTGGCCCCAACCCTGCGGATGTGGGGAGTCAGTGGGGAGTGGAAGTCCCTCCGCATAACCCCATCCGAACCAGATCGAAAGCCAGCTCGGGCAAGTGCTTTATGAGTGAGAAATGCCAAGTAAATCACATTTTATTATTGGATTTACCTTTAACGACATTAACTCTAGTGGTTCTCTCCCTTGTTAGCAGGCTCTTGTCCTGGGCTCTCCAGGTGACTTTGCAAGTGTAGTGTCCGCTGTCTGAGACTTCAAGCTTCTCAATTTCAAGAGACACATCGCCTGGCCTGCTATTTGGCACGCTGACCCTACCTCTGTACTGTGACAACAGGATGTGATCATCAGAGCTATCCCTTCGAAAGATGGTGGCAGGGCTTTGATCTCGTTCCAGGGTCCAAATGACTGTTTGCTGCACAAAGTCCTGGGAAGGCACATAGACACATGGCAAGGTGATTGAACTCTTCCATGTCCCTTCAATGTCATAGGTGCCAGTCAGTTCCAGGATGGCTGTAGAGAGGGAACAGGAGATGAGGGGTAGAAATAAAAGAACAAAGGAGAGAATGTCAGTAAGACCAAAGAGTGCTAGAGGCACATCCAGGTGGAGTCCACTAAGCTGCAAGCACACAGACAGCAGTTCTTGACAAACACTACTGCTCGATTTCCCTAGTCGCACCTAGTGGATAGGGCAATGGCTTAGGATGTGGGAGACCTGGCTTCAGTTCCCTGCTCCACCGTGGAATTCATGTGTGACCTTGGGCAAGCCACTTATTATTTCTTATTCCCCCCTCTGTAAGATGCAGATAACACCACTTTGCTGTCTCACAGGGGTGTGGTGAGGAAACATACATGAAAAGATTGTGAAGTGCTTTGAGCTCTATTCATGAAAAGGAATTGTGGTTATTGCCTCTCAGATCCTGTCATAACTTAATGTGGCTGCTTAGAAAGTTTTTCCCCCTCTTCCTTAAAGTGCCCCACAAAGCAGAAAGAGATATTCAGAGGCTGATGCACACCAAGGCATGTTGTCCTAATTAGTTCGAACACAAGTCATGTGTTCTCTTAAAATGTCACTGGCCTTTGGTCCATGAACTGGAACAATGGATGCGAAGTTCCTTGAACTTTGGGGAGGTCCAGATCTGCATCTGGTCTTCTTGGTTCATGGCCAACCTTATAAGACAAATCTCAACCAGATCACTGGATCGGAACTATGGGCAAGTTTGCATTTGGAGCCACATTTCTTATCTCCAAGTTCTGTGAAGCTAGGCTCACTCTTCCAGTATATCAGATCGCCGTCCAAATTTCAGCCTCGAATTGTCTGAGCTGCTGCATCTCATTAGCAAATGACTTCAGAATTTTCCTCAAAGTCCAGCTTTTACTTTTCATCCCCCTGAACCCCTTTTCTGAAAGCCTCCTGTTACTTTTAACTCCGTTTAAAACAGAACTCCAAGTAAGCAACTGAAATAGGAGCTCACATACATCTAAACTTTTCCTTTTGCATCAGAAACCAGGACTGGTGCCTTACTTGACATCCTTTCCTAAAACTGGGTTTCCACACTCACCTTTCAAAGCAGTTTTCAACATTTTCCCTTTATCCTGTTTTCCAAGTTCATTGTCATTCAGTGCAGATTTACTGATAAAGTGCAAGCACATTTCATTTGAAACTGCAGCACGATGTAAAATGACAGCTCAGATTCTGATCTCAATTACACAACTGTAAGATATTTTATTTACACTTATGGAGGTCAGAATCTGTTTGGAGGAGAGTTGTGTGTAGAGCCATAGCTAGCACTGTAATTACAACACCCACTAGTACAGGAGTGGGCAAACTATGGCCCGCGAGCTGTTTTAAGCCAGCCTGCATGCTGCACCAGCGGCTCAGCCCCACTCCACACGGGGCACTGGGGTGGGGCTGCACCACATGGCTCAGCCCTGCTCCGGCCGGGGTGCTGGGTCAGGGGCTGTACCACTCTTGAGGTAAGTGCCGCTTGGAGCCTGCACCCCATAGCCTCTCCCTGTGCCCCAACCCCCTGCCCCAGCCCTGATCCCCCTCCTGCCCTCCAAACCCCTTGATCCCAGCCCAGAGCACCCTCCTGCACCCCAAACCTCTCATCCCCAGCCCCACTCCAGAGCCCACACCCCCAGCCAGAACCTGCACCCCTTCCTGCACCCCTGCCCCAACCCTGATCCCCCTCCCGCCCTCCAAACCCCTCGGTCCCAGCCCAGAGCACCCTCTTACACCCCAAAATCCTCATCCCCAGCTTCACCCCAGAGCCTGCACCCCAACCCCAATTTTGTGAGCATTCATGGCTCGCCACTCAATTTCTATTCTTCGACATGGCCCGCAGGCCAAAAAGTTTGCCCAACCCTGCACTAGTAGGATTCTGAAAAGCTAAGTTCAAAAAGAATGAACATATTCCAACCACAACATGAATTCTGAAGAAGCTAAAATGCCAGAGAATAAACTCTCCCAGTACCCTGGACAGTCTTGTTTTATTCTTAGTCTGAGTACATTAAATCTGACAAATTGCTCAATACTGGGCTGTTTCTTACATTCTCCTTGTTGTATGTGATGCAAATAGCTGAACTGGAAATATACAAGCTGCATTTTCACTCCAGGGATAACAAGCTGCTACTTTCCACATGGTTTGAATTTGAAGTGACTGAAAACCAAGCTGGTAGAACAGAAGAGATACTGGTTTTCACAGCCTTTTAAAGGTTTAATTCTTTTATCAGGTCCATACCTATGTGAACTTAGATTAACTGTCTCTGAATATGGAAAATGTTTTCATTTACTCACCACTGCAGAAGGTGAAGGAATTCACAAACACCACTAGCCACACTAACTTTTCCATTCTTCACAGAACCGCAGCTACTTCTCTTACCCTGGACCTCCTCTCCTATCATCAGATGCCAAGTCAGCCATACTTCCTTTCAGCACTCGCTCACTCAGCTAGCATACAGAGTTGCTGCTGCTCTTTTCCTTCCTTTTTTTCACAAAAACCACAAGGATGTTCTTACTGAAAGTGTTGGAGTGATGGTTCTACAGACAGGACGGATCCTAATGAAGGATGAAGTTAGGAAAAAGGCCTAAGGTTTTTTTCCCTCTTTTTCCATTACATATTACCTTTACTTTGAGTCTGCTTTGCTTGCCATTCATTTGATTGGCCAAGTAATTGTTTCCTTTGATTATCTTTTTAACTGGACATTTTTGCCTTCTTTTCATGTTTTGCATTCTTCTCTCAAAGGCCGTATTTTTAGATCATCTATCACACTCAAGTTCTGTTAAAAGCACATTATGGTTGCAAAGAGAAGCACTCAATAGTTAGGAAGTGCCAGAATTAAGATAAATTGATTTTGGCCCAGTCTATATGTATATGCATTAAGGTACAGTATTGAATTATAGGATCACTTTTTTTTCCCCACAGGACCCCTGCCTCGTTCAGTGCACAAAATGGCTGGTGAATGAACAGCTGTTTGATTTTGTTTTCTCCTCATTGTTCAACGTGTGGACTTTGGCTGGTTGAGGAGCTTGCTGGATCATTAATATTGATTTTCAATAAGCTTTGGGGCACTGGGAAAGTTCCAAAAGACCAGGAGAAAGCAAGTGTTGTGCCAAATTTTTATAAAGGGTAAACCGGGTAATCATAGGCCTCTTGGCCTGACATCAATCCCAGCCAACATAATGGAGCAACTGATATGGCACTTGGTTAATAAAGAAGTAAAGAATGATAACATAATTAATGCAAATCAATATGGGTTTATGGGAAATAGATCCTGCCAAACTAACTTGATAGCTTTTTTTTTTTTTTTTAAATGAGATTACAAGTTTGGTTCTTAAATGTAATAATGTTGGCTTAATACAGTAGACATCTTCAAGGCATTTGACTTGATACCACATAGCATTTTGTTAAACAAAACCTATTTAGAACAATATAAAATTAACATGGCACACGTTAAATGGGTTAAAAACTGGCTAACAGATAAGTCTCAAAATGTAACTGTAAACAGGGACTCATTATCAAGCAGGTTTGTTTCCAATGTGGTTTTCCAGAGATCGGTTCTTGGCCCTGTGCTATTTAGCTTTTTAATCAATGGCCTGTAAGGAAACAAAATCACTGATAAAGTTTGCAGACGATACAAAAATTTGGGGAGAGGTAAATAAGTAAGATGACAGGTCACTAATGCACAGCCATCAGGATTGTTTAGTAAACTGGGGGCAAGCAAGCAAACAATATGGGCTTTAATGTGACTAAACAAATGCATAGTCTAGGAACAAAGATGGTGGCCAGGCTCATGAGATGGAGGGCTAGATCCTGGGAAGCAGAGATTCTGAAAAAGATTTGGGGGCTGTGGTGGGGGGAAAAATAAAAATCAGATGAACAAGAGCTCCCCCATTGTGACTCTGTGCCAAAAAAAACCTAATGTGATCCTTGGATGCAGAAGCAGGGGAATCTCAGCTAGAAGAAAGGTTAATTTACCTCTATTTGGTACCAGGGCAACTGTTGCTGGAACCCTGTGCCCACTTTTGGTGTCCACACTTCAAGAAGGATGTTGATAAATTAAAAGGAGTTCAGAGAAGAGCCACAAGAATGATTAAAGTTTTAGGAAACACGGCCTATAGTGAGAGAGTCACGGAGTTCAATCTATTTAGCATAACAAAGAAAAAGTTAAGGGATTACTTGATCAAGTACGTACATGGGAACAATATATTTGATGATGGGCTCTTCAATTAGCAGACAAAGGTATAACAAGACCTAATGGCTGGAAATTGAAGCTAAACAGTCAGACTGGAAAAAAGGTAAATTTTTGAACAGTGAGGGTAATTAACCATTGGGACAATTTTCCAAGGGTCATGGTGGATTCTCAATCACTGGCATTTAAAACAAATCTAATCTTGACTTTAAAAGATATAGTCTAGTTCAAAATGAATTATTTTGGGGGAGTTCTGTTGCCTGTATTATGCAGAAGGCCAGACAACATGACCACATGGTCCTTGCTGGCCTTGGAATTTATCAGTCAAGTTACTAAGGAGGCACGCCTGAACTAGGATCAGCTAATTCTCCAAGTTACAGAGGAGGAGGAATAAACCAGAACCTGAGAAGGGCTGTCAATGGACAAAAGGGTTTATGAGTTATTGAAGAAGACCTTTGACAGGAGAAACTGAGGCAGGGGATGCTTACACAGATGCCCTGAGGCTAGGAGGGGGCACACAGGAGGCAACCATCTGATGGCAGTGCTCTTCTCAGTGCCAGTGCTGAGTAGCATACAGCCATATGATCTCATGGTCCTTCCCCCAAAGGGAATCATCTTCCCTCGATCTAGAAGGCTGTGAGCAGTCATTCAGATACCACAGACCAAGTGCCAAAGATATAAAATCACAGTCCAGGAGAAGTGAACAATATCACTGCTGTGGCTGGGATTTCTCCCCCAGCCTCCCATTTACTATAATTTTAAAACTTGAATTTGGGGCTCAAAGTACCAGAGACTGACGTTCTCCATGTCCCCCAGAG